GTTGAATAAAAGGGTGTCAAACCTGTTTGGCTTCCTGAGGCTTTATATTTAAGTGGTGACAGAATACCTATACAGAAGGGGCTTGTAGGAAATTTAAATTAAACTCTAGGCTACTTACCTTACTAAAAGTCCATATAAAAAACACTATACAAGTTGGAAGGATGATTTTGTTGTTTTGTTTGTTCTTCAAGACAGGGTTTCTGTACAGCTCTGGCTGTCCTGGAACTTGATCTGCATACCTCAAAATCAAAGATGCCCCTGCCCCCGTTTCCCGAGTGCTAGGATTAAATGTGTGCATCACCACTGTTTGGCTACAGTATCTTCTTTTAAATTTCATCTGGTTTTAACTAAATCAGCAGAAAACTGAGTTGTTCCCAGGACCTCTCTCTTGTGGCTTTTATCACAACGGGGTACACTTCTTTCACTTACTAGGAGAAGACAGCCTTGGGCACTCAGCTCAAGACAATGTTGATTGTGGAATGAGAGAGTAGAAGGGTAGCTGCCAGGAGCTGGGAGTCCATAAGGGTCAAGGTGAATTGGTCAGACAGGCACACACATGAGGTTATAAAGTGAAGAAATGATATGCTAAAATATAGAGTAGTAATCAGTCAGTGGTACATTCTTCGTTTGATATTTGTTAAGAGTAGAAAGATAATTATGTGCCAGTATATAATTAGATATATTTTAATTGTCTATTAAGCCAGAGGGCAAATGAGTGATTTATGAAGAACATCTCCCCATATACACCAGAAGAAATGCTTCTAGTATTAGCACCAGCAGTAGCAGTGAAGATAATTAGCTATCTAAACGACCAGGGCTGTCTAGTGCTTACAAGTTAAATTTATGTCCAGTTCCAGAAGGCTTTCCCAATATGCTCTTTTGTGAACTAAGTGCTTTCTTTTCTGCTTTCATTTTCCTGTTCCAATGTCAGTTTTTGAGGACAAGGAAGTGTATGCATAGATAAGTCGGTACATTTCTTGTATAGTACTTAGTATTTGTTCATTGACCTCATTGTGTTTTATGCAATTCCCCACATATTTCTAATATCAAGAAATGCATACCCTTTTAGATATCAGCATATTTGCATATCCAATCATTTATTAACTTAGTGGTTTTCTAGGTATTGCAATTTTTGTCTTTTTAAATGTTAGTGTACTTTTTTTGTGTGTCCCCCACACTCTATCAAAGGTCACTGGTGTACCAACACATCTGGTAAGTTTTTATTGACAATCTGACTTACCAGTTTCATTAGACATTACTTGTACAAGATCCATGGACATTGCAAATATTACTCTTTAACGTACACCTTGTCTGGCCACCCTCCTTTATTTCTACAGTAGTCAGAATCTTCATCAAAAGGTTTTGAGGATCTTGGTAATCAAACTTTTTACTAGTCTCAAGCCATGGCCTTTCCTAGTATTATCAGCTCAGATGCTTAAAGCTTTTGTCCTTCAAAAATTATGTGTGTCTGTATGGGGCAATACATGGATTCATAGATATTTTGTAAATGACCTAAACATGGATGTATAGAGCAGCATTATTCACAACTCAAAACAGAACCCACTCGGTGAGAGGTTATCTCTGCTGGCAAGATGAGCCAAATCCAAGCAATATTAAAGTCTAAGACAGAAAGGGGAGCGGGGAGGAGAAAGAAACAAGAATGAGAGAGAACGAGAGCTAAAATGTCTGGATTGTATCATGAAGAGCCTCTCAGGAAGTGGAAGACCAGGCCCTGAGCTGGAAAGTTCAGGCAAGAATTGAAGAATGCTGGTTAAGCCTGGAGGATAGATCTGCTTTGGTATGTTAAATAGTCACCTCAGCTGCAGGTCTGAACCCAACACTCAGATCTCCACCACCTACAAAATACATAAAGGAATTCCCACATACTCAATCAAACTAGCATCAAGGAGAGTGAGGTTATTAATGACATTTAGAACAGTGTAGATGGTCTAACAAGCATATTGTAGAATAACAAACCAAACAAATAAATACAATGTATTCTATGGGCATATAACATACAGTTTGCAACAGGAAAAGTGTGTATTTATGGTATTAGTGTACATATTAGCTGTTAGCCAGTGCCCTTAGAAGGGAGGCATTATCAGCCTTGGGGGCTGATGTTATTTTATAATTCAGTGACGGCTATATAGTATATGCTGTTTATAGAAATACACTGAACTTCATTTTTATTTGTGGATTATGTTTATTTTAATCTTAAAAAATCACATTGAAAAAACACCAAACATTTCTGGTTTGTTCCTACCATACCCGAGGTTCAATGGCTGAGAGTCTAGCCCATCCTTCCTTTCCTGTAGCTCCGAGTCATGACCTGTTATAATTTCCCCCTAGGAAATGGCTGGTGATGAAATTGCTGCCCTTCCACGGGATAGTTGTCCTGTTAGAATCAGAAATCGGTGTGTTATGACATCTCGCCCACGTGGTGTTAAACGTCGCTGGAGACTTAGTCGCATTGTCTTCCGCCACTTAGCTGACCATGGGCTACTTTCTGGAGTCCAGCGAGCAATATGGTAAAACAGTTTCAGAACCTGCCCAGAAGCCAACCCTGACAAGAGACTTAAGACCAAACCCTAGATCTTATAAGGGTCTCTTATGTTTAGTCTACTTGATCCTGAGTTAAATTACTTTTAGATTTTAAATAAATGTGGTTATTTGTCATTGAATTTTATTGTCTTTTAACTTTAAAGCATATTACTCCCACACATGGTATAAGAGTGAAATAAAAATATTTTCTGTGAAAGTATGGTGTTTTTCTTCAAGTTTGATGTTTAATAGCGAAATAATGTATTTTTTTAGAGTGATTTCACAAAAACTTCTAGATGTCAGATCCAATTGACAGGCTGCTTTTCTATGTTATATCCCTGGGCTAACTTCTCTGGTCTGCAGTTACTATCAGTTTTTGGATAACAATAGACAGAGAGTTAAACAAGATATTCTAAATTATATCTAGAAATTATATATTTATGTGACAATGAATAGAACAACTGCTAAATAGTTGTTTCATCTTTTAAAATTTTTCATTAATGCGTATTGGTGTTTTATATGTAAACCTGTGCTCCATGTGGGTGCCTGGTACTGGAGGCCAGAGGAAGGCACCAAATTACAAACATTACCAACATTTAAAGCTACCTGTTGCCTAGTGGCTTAGACATTTCAATGATTGTTGTGCAAGATCTGTTTTCACTAATTCTATCTTTGCTGTATCTCTTGGGTTTTTGTTTTGTTATTCTGTTTTTTTAAGAACTTTCCCTATCAACAATTACTAAAATATATTTCTTTTTGTTTTGTCTTTTTTTGGTTTTTCGGTGTAGCCTTGGCTGTCCTGGAACTCACTCTGTAGACCAGGCTGGCCTCGAACTCAGAAATCCACCTGCCTCTGCCTCCCAAGTGCTGGGATTAAAGGCGTGCACCACCACTGCCTGGCTCTAAAATATATTTCTTTAACATAAATTTATAAATTTTCAGAGTAAACAAGCTATACTACCAAAAATGGAAACCAATCATTCCTATGAACTTTGAAATGTTTATGTATTTGGTGCTTTAAGTCCACTCTGCCCATTCTTACCTGTGATTACTGTCCTATTACCAGTGGAAGTCCCTTGACATCTATAGCCTGTAAATAAGGTTATTTACTATGTTCTTGCTTACTGGGTACCAGAGTTCAGTTCCTAGCACCCATAACCAATTGTAATTCAATTCCCTGGGAAATCCAAAAACCTCTGGCAGCATCCAGCAACTACAATAGCATGTAAATACCCACACATGTACACGACTCAAAAACAAAAACCAAAAAACCTTTAAAAAAGCAATGCAGTATCACCAACTTGTTTACTTTTATCACAATATATAAAAATTCCAATATACTAATTGTGGCACAAAATTATTTAGAATTCATCTAATGGACAAATGACATTATTCTAAAGATACTTGAACAACTTTAATACTAAATTCAATATGCAAACAAAGCAACTATTGCTTAGTTGTCTTCCCAAAATGCATATTGAAATTAATGCTCAGTCCATGGTATTAAGTGGGGCCATAGCTTCACCTTCATGAATGAGATCAATGGGAGCTCCTGGAAGACTTTTATTTCTTGCATCCTCTGCCAATATCATTCCCAGGTTTTTTTGTTCTATGCATCTACTTTTCATAACCTAAACATGTAACTTAATATACATGTTCTTACATAAAAACCAGTGGAGTTTTCTCAATGTAAAATAGGGTGATCTTAAGATTTTTTAGAAAAAGAGTAAGCATATTTCTGTTGTATTTCCCTCCCTTTAGTTTTAGTGACCCAATGGCTTTTATAAGGGCTACTTATTGGAGCACTGGGAAAATTACCAGAGGCTACACCTGAAGAAAATGTCATCTCCCCCAACTCCTACTTTTTTTTCCTGTGAATGATTTATTTATAGTTATTGGCAACCTCTCAGTATGTCATCAGTTTTTGGTTATGTGTAGTTTTTCTGCAATATATTTTCCTTTTACATTTTAAAGCAAGACTTCTTCCCCATTCCTATGTCATAATGGAATCCCACCTCCTCTAGTACTTCTATAACTTTATTTTTTACATTGCGGTCTCTGATGCTGTAAATGTTGAGCATATGGCCATTTTAAGTTATAATGATATCATTAATGATTCATCTCCCCCTACAAATTCCACACTTACTCTATTATAATCTAAATCTCCTAATATACAACCTAATGTGTTTCACCAGTTTGTTTATTTCATGGTTCAATACAGTTTTAGAAGCATTATACTTCCAGCCACCCTTTCTATGCGGTTAGTTTTAAGTTCTGACTTTTACCTAAGTCTTAATGGTAGTTGTTGTGATCTACTGGCGCTTTTTCTAGGCATCTAATTGCTTTCTTTTTGATGGTGAGCCTTTAACAGCTGAGTCACTGCTCCAGCCCTCTTACTGCTTTCTGAAACTTACTAAAGTGCAGTAACAAAAGAATACACTCAAAACAGATTGCAAAACTTATCTTTTAAGTAAAACTCCAACTTTATTGAACAAAGGAATAAAGGGGGTTTTCAAGTTTTCGCATCATGGTTACTTTTTAAGCCATCTGATCCATGACAGTACGTATCAACATAAGATGTTTGTCTATTTTTGTCATTTGTATTTTAATTTTATAGTCATAAATATACTTAAATCAATTAGTACATGGTAACACATGGCTTACATGTTGCCTAAGCTGGTAATAATGGAAAACAGCTCTATAGTAACTTGCAAGTTCATGTACAAATTTGAATTTTATGCAAAAATCTTGCTTTTATTTTTTACATTACTAATGTCAGTTACAGATAGACAGAGACTTTTGTTTTCTATTTCCCAGCCAGAACAAAAATCTGTCATGTAACATTTTCATTATGTAAGACTTCCTTTTTACATTTCAGTAAGAATGCCATATAGCCTTTTCTGAAACAAAATGTCTGGGAGGCTAATGAAGGAAAAAGTTAATAAGCTTATTTATTTAAATCAAATCCTCCAGTAAGAAATGGAGAATCTGCTGTCTTTACTTAGAAGGCTGTGTAAATAGTTATCTGTCAAAACTACATACCCACATGAACAAATATGTGCAGTTCAACAACATTCCCTTACTGGAAACATGAGCATTCCACATCCCAGTTCCCATAAGGATTTTTAAAAGCCTCAAAATTCTGTGTCTTCTCTGGCTTGCTTCTCTCTGGATTCCACCCATGCTTTGTTAATGGTTCGCTTCATGTCATCGTCTCCATCTTCATAAATTTTCTTTAGAACATTCATTAATCCCTCACTAGGATCTGCCTCAGTGTCGTAGGAAGGCTTTCTGTGAAAAAGAAAACAGGCTACATTGAAAAATTGAAGCATGGAAAGAGATTCTTAGATTGTTAAGTGGTAGGAAGTTGAGGAACAGAGAGAAGGGATGTTAGAGTATACAATCAGAATAACAAGCCTAGGTTTATCCTGGTAAAACTACATACCCACATGAACACGGTACACAAAGGAGAGAATACCAAATAGCAAGGACTGACATGAGACAGTGATTTCCACAGAAAACCTCTAGATTCCTAGAGCAGAACTATTTGAGAACAGGCCACAGTTACCTTCAGATGTACCAATATGTCCAGGAATAAAAACAATGCCAAAAAACAAGCGACACCATCTTAAACTGGCCCTTGCCCTCTTCTAATAGGCTGAGCACAGTAGTCCTTGCTTTTAATCCCAAAAGCACTCAAGAGGCAGAGGTAGGTGGATCTCCAGGAGTTCAAAGCCATTTTGGCAAGTTCTAGGACAGCCAGAACTCCACGGGGAAGGGGGGACAGGACAGAGACAGACACTAACTGATTGACTGTCGCCATCTCTAAGAGGTTGGCCCAAGACCTCAGGAGGTAAACAATTTGCTTGTACAACTGTTATCCATAAAGTAAAACCATAACCAAAGCTAAAAATAGTAAAATTAAACTCACTCTTTCTCTTTGCATTCTTTTTCCACCTGAGTTAAGTAGTCCCATCTTGTGTTTTCTGCTTTCTTTCTACATAGGATAATAACTGTATCAGTCTTAACCTGGAAGAAAAGGAGGCAGATGCAATTTGTAACATAGAAATAAGCACAAGTACTTAGAATATAGTATTTACCCAACCAAGTGCCTAATACATTAATCTTCATTCTTGGTGTTAGTAATCCTTTTATGGACTGGCCAGAATAAAACAAGCAAAACCTTCAATGCTAAGACCATCAAGACCTAAAGATAAGGTTCAGGATATGGCTCAGTTGGAAGAGTGCTTGCTCAGAATTTATAAAGCCCTGGGTTGATTCCTATTATCACATAAAATAGGGCATTGTGGCACACACCTATAATCTCTGCACTTTAGAAAAAGGTACGATAATCTCTTGTCAAGAGCTCAAGGTCATCTTTAGAGTGATGGAATACTGCCTGGGCTACCTGAGACCCTATTTCAAAAGACCCTGGGCTGAACCTACCTTAGTTTAGAAGGTAAAGCACATGTGCATGTGTTTTGGTTGGTTTTGGTTTTGTCAACTTGATACAAGCTAGAGTACCTGGAAAGAGGAACCTCAACTGAGAAAGTGCCTACTTACCAGACTGCCTGTGGGCAGGTCAGTAAGGCATTTGCTTTATTAGTGATTGACAGGGAGGGAGCAGCCCACTGGGGTAGTATAATCCTTGGGCAGGTGGCTGAGCCAGCCAGAGAATAAGCCAGTATGGCTCCTCCATGGCCTTTCCTTTGTTCCTGCCTTTATTTCCCTCCATGATGGACGATGATCTGGACCTGTTATTTTTAGTCTGGGTGTTTTATACAGCAATAAAAACTTAACAAGGACAGCATGCCATGCAAACATCCAGAACCCAAATAAAAACGCTATATATGGTCACACACAACTGTAGTCACAGGACTTCTATGGTGAGATGAAGATAGAATCCCAAGAAGCCGTGTTGTGGACTGGCTAGCCTGGTGCATATAGTGTCGAAGCGACAAGAGACTACCCCGTCTCTCTCAGACAGACAGGTACACACAGACTCTTAAGGACAGTGTTAATGGGAAGTGTGGGAAAAACTTCATTAGAAGGCTCTGGAACAAAATGTGAACCAAGTAAAACCTAAGACCTAACAGGATGACACTGTAGACATCTGCCATAGCAAAAGAGTAGCTCCTAGATGTCACAGTCAGGGTGTGTTCAAAGGACTGGCTGAATTTTGGTGATTTAAGGAAAAATAGAAGGTAAAGTATCTGAAGGGAAAGCAAGGAAGGGAAACAACCTTCAACTCAACAATGATCAACTGATCTCTTAGATGCCTGTTAGATGCCTCCTTTGACTCTAAAATTAGTAAGTGAGGGTATCTGCAGTGAGACACTGGCTAATTAAGATTGCTTTTATTACAACTTTTAGGCAAATACCTAACAGGGAAATGACATGCCTATATATCTCAAATATTAAAACATCACTTTCTTAAACTGGAAAGAACAGAAGGATGGTATGAGTTTGTAAAAAGTATAAGCAACAGTTTTTTCCTAAATGAACTCATGTATTTCTGCAACTTCAACACGCTGAGTACTTAAACAGATCCTAAATGCATCACAAATCTATATACAATGGACTACACTATTAATGCCAGTTCTTCCTGTCTATTTAATCAGTACGCCATTTTAACTGCCACTGTACAACAGTGAGGCTGAGAAACATCAGGAGTCACAGTGACTCCTGTAAAGCATTATAACTCACTCTAAACTATTTAAGTCATTTCTCCTTTATTTTAAAACAGCTTTCTTAGAATAATTTTTCTACAAATGAATTGCCAAACTTTCTTCAACGGGCCAAACACAAAATTATTTATTTTACATTTCATGGGCTATATGATCTACTGTGCCGTTGCAGTGCAGAAGTAGATACCAGAAGTACTTAAGAACAGCTGTTCCGGGCTGGAGAGATGGCTCAGTGGTTAAGAGCACTGACTGCACTTCCAGAGGTCCTGAGTTCAAATCCCAGCAACCACATGGTGGCTCACAACCATCTGTAATGGGATCTGATGCCCTCTTCTGGTGTGTCTGAGGACAGCTACAGTGTATTCATATATAATAAATCTTTAAAAAAAAAAAAACAACAACAGCTGTTCCAGTAACATACTACTTACACATCAGGCAGGGGACTGGTACCAGACACAGCAAAGAATTTTTAGATCATCTCCATTCTAAATCAGCCAGATTCAATTTAATGAGGCTATCATAATACTTGGACCAAACAAACGGACAACTAACTTACTTTTTTTGAACTGCTTTCCACGGAGATAGGTTTCAAAAGATTGTTCACAATCATGGAGTAATTCTTCCCATTGAGGTTTTTTACCAAAAGATCAAATGACCTACAATACAACAGCAAATGCATTATCTTTCTGGTTCCATGATGACAGGCACGCTATAGTTCTCAGACAGTAACTGGCTTCAGTCTGGTGCAGTGGTTCTCAACCTTCCTAATATGCCTCCACCCTTTAATACAATTCCTCATGCTATAGTGACCACTGGACCACAACATTATTTCATTGCTACTTCATAAATGTAATTTTGCTTTCTGTTATGAATGATAACGTAAATATCTGATAAGTGACCCCTGTGAAAGGATCATCTGACACTGGAGGGGTCATGACCCAAAGGTTGAGAACAGCTGGTTTAGTGTGTACCTTTGGTTGTCACACTTCTTTATAGTTAACTCTAAATCTCAACAAATTTCAGAAGCCATACAGAAGACAAGATTCCCATGAATAAGGCAATGACCACTGTACGTCCAGTAACAAGAACTCACCTCTCTGTGAAGTGTACCTGCACATTCTCAGTGGGAACCTGATGAACTCCGGTTAAAGTAATGTAAATTTTCACAAACTTATCTGACTGATCCCATCCTAGCGAAACAAAAAAGATGGAACATGAATGTCTGAAACTGCCTATAGAACAGTAAGAGAACATGGCTTATCATAAAACCCAGTTACAGGAGCTAAAAGATGGTTCACCAGTGGCTGTTCTCCCAGAGAACCAGAGTTCAAGTCCAGCACCATAATAAGAAGCATCTGTAACTCTAGTCCCAGGACAGCTGGCTCCTCTTCTGGACTCTGAGGCATGCATGTGGTGCTCAAACATACATGCAAATGAAACACCCACCCACACACAAAAGGTTTAAAAATAAAACTCCAAAAAATAAAAATCTAGTAACAAGACACATGGGAAAGAATTAAAGGTTAAAAATTCTCAAGGGATGGCTCAGAGGTTAAGAGCAGTCATTGCTCTTCTAGAGGACCCTGGTTCAATGCCTAGCACTCACATGGTGGCTTACAACTGTCTACAACTCCAGTTCCAGGTCTGACACTCTCTCTCATATGCACACACATACATGCAATCAAAACACCAATGCACATAAAAAAAATCATTAAAAAAATTTCTCAAGATGAAGAAGCTATGTCTCATAACAGTACTTCTAGAAACAGTACTACTGCTGAAGCTAGGCATCCAGCAAGTGGGAGCAGGCAAAGTCAAATTCAGTTTCTATGTGCAAAGCCCATGTTCTTCTTATTCCTTAGAATAAAAACAATTACTAAATGTGACTCTTCTTTCTCCAAAATAATTCTCTTCCCTAATAGGGTCTGAACCCTTAGCCTTGTGAATACCAGGCTAGGCCTTGTACCACTGAGTTTCAGTCTAGCACTAACCTTTCTTTTCTATTTTGAGAAAGGGTCTAAACTGCCAAAGCTGGCCTCAAACTTGTAATCTTCCTAACCAGCTAAGATTACAGGCATGTCCCACTATGCCAAGCAAATACATGAAGATTAGCTTATTTACCTGTTTTGTTAAATAATTTTGTTCTCCATCTACAACTTGACAGAGCCTGCTATGGTAGCACAGGTAAACATTTTATACACTTGGGAAGTAAAGCAGGGGAACCAGGAGTTCAAAGTCATTATCAGTTACACAGTGAGTTTAAGGCCAGCCTGGGCTACATATTCACAACTTGTCTCTGGGAAATTAACAATTCTGCACCAAGCTGAATACATCAACACCGTGAATTCAATAATCATTCCTACATCTCTAGGTTGCACCTCCCCCCACCCTACAAGCAACCTCAGCTCTTTCAGGACAAAGTAGAATATAAATTTAAGATTCCAATTAATAAGCACAGCACGGTGGTATACAACTAGGCTCCCAGCTACTTGGAAGGTGTAAGTAGCAGGATCTCTTGAGGCCAAGTTGACTTCTGAAACAATCTGGACAATACACAAAGATACTTGGCCTCAAAGTAAAACTCTGAATCTGGGGCATACAAGGCAGGAGGGTCTCAGAGTTCTAAGCCAGAATGGGCTACAGGTCAACTGTGTCTCAAAAAAAAAAAAAAAAAAGCAAAGCCCAAATAGCTAGATAAAAGATCCTAATTCTTCACCACAAACCTGTTAATATGGCCTCCCAATACAGTATCTAAGGCCATTTTGGTATATACTGTTACACTATATAATAGTATCTAACCCACACCAAATGTCAACATTAAAAAAACCACAACCTTCACACAAAAACGTATATGTAACATGAATATATTATGGGGTAGTCATTTCTGCTTGTCAGAACACTAGATATAGTAGAACAGGTCATACCATAATTACTGATTTTCACGGTGTATCCTGTTGTAAGAGGCGCAACCACAGCAGCTGGCTTCTCATTATCAAGTTCTGGTTTCTTCTGAGACTTCTGTTGCATCTTGTTCTTTAGTTCCGTCTCAATCTTGGACTTTTCACTTGTAAGAGTATCACGTAGTCTTTTCCTAGTGGACTTTTCTAGCAATACTTTGACCTCTTCTAGGTCTTTCTGCAACTGTGTTGAAGTAGAGAGAGGTAAGTTAAGATAAATAAGGCCTGCTGCCCAATTCAACTTACTGAACTAAAAATTAAGTTTATTTTAATTTCTTAAGAGTTACAAACTGTTATTTCTTCTTGTTCACTGAACTGTACATAACTCTCACTTCCTTTTTGTTAAAGGAAAACAATCTTAATCAATAGTAAGTCTGAATTTTGCAGTTTGGTAGGCTGTCACCTGCCTTTGTTTAGAACATTGAAAAGGAATCGTGGGAGATTTAAAAGTAACACCAAGTCCAGGCTTCAGATACTAGAAAAACTTAAACATTACAGTAAAAGAGATGAGAATCCATCTGACTGGAGCTACTACAGAAACTTTATTGAGGTAACGAAGACTGTACTTTCAGTTCTCATAGATTTTCCTTTGAATTGTTAGGACAAAAAATAAAAAAATAATAATAAAATAAAATAATAAAATAGGGCTCAGTGGTTAAGAGTACTGACTGCTTTTCCAGAGGTCCTTGAGTTCAATTCCCAGCAACCATATGGTGGCTCACAACCATCTGTAATGGAATCCGATGCTCTCTTCTGGTGTGTCTGAAGAAAGCTACAGTATGCTCATATACATAAAATAAATAAATAAATAAATAAATCCTAAAACAAAAATAAAACAGTCAGAAAGATGGCTCAGTGGGTAAAGGTGCTTGCTGCCAAGCTTGATGGTTTGAGTTCAATTTCAGGATCCAAATGAGAGGAGAATCAGTACTTGAAAGACCACCTGATCTCCACAAGTGCCATGGTAAATAATGTAAAAAATATCCTGCTTCTAAGAAAAAGTCTTGCACAGCAGTTGGTTGATCTTTTGGCAGAATCTGAGACCACAGAAAGGAAACCTCAGCATCCAATCCCATATGAACATCCTCTTGGAAACTGGTCTTTGCAAATCTGTTGTTTTCTTGCGATACCAATACCTCAGGTAAGTCCTGTACCTTTTACAGACAGATATGTAATGTGGAACTTTACTAAAGACAATGCTAGAAAATCAATGGACTGGGGCTGGAGAGACTGTTCATGCCAAAGGACGGTTTGGCTCCCAGCACCCACATCAGGCAGCTTACAAGTCTTTACATTTTGTCTCCCACATATCTGATGATCTCCTCTGGCCTCCATATGCACTTCCACACATGTGGTATATACAGGCAGACACAAAGTCAATGGGCTTAAATATTTCCTCAATCATCCTCTGAACTAATGTGGAGAAAATGCTTAAAATGTTCTGCCTTGATAACCTAACCTAACCATAAAAACAACCATCTTACTTTATACCTTCATACTAAAAAAAGATTTAATATTAAAAATCCTTAAATGCTCCATTTACAACTGATAAGAGTCCATTGCAGAAAACCACAATCAACATTCAATGTTGTAGAGCCCAGTTCCAATGGATATATCTGCAGCGTAACTCCCTCACTGAAGGCATGTAAGGCTCAGATAATTGCAGAGTAACAAATGTTAGTGTGTGGAGAAATGACCCCTTTTGTGCAATTCTTGTGGAAATGGAAGATTTTAAGAGTTAGAGGATCAAAGAACTTGTTGTCAGATTGTGACTCCTAGTAATTAGAAGTTACACCCACCCAACAATATCTCAGCAAGAATGCCTAAACCTGAGCAGAACGAAGACGACAAGAGACATGCTAATGTGGACAAGGAAAGCCCAGGATCTCACAACTCCACCCAAGGACAGGCCCAAAAGAAAGGCTGAGAGCATGAGGAATAGTCTTCCCCAAAGAAGAGTATACCAACTGGCCGAGTACCAAATGGTCAGCCCTGATAGCTTAAAAGTAACATTACAGACTATGTAGGTAAAATGAAAAAAAAGAGAGAGAAATTGAAAGAGAGCAAATGGGAGGGTTTGGAGGGAGGAAGGGAAAAATGATTTAATTATAATCTCAAGAAATAAAAGAAATAATTTTAAACTCCTTTAAATGCTAGATATTAAGTAGTAAAGGAGTTCCTTTTTATAATAGCTCATTACTCTGTGGCCGTTATGATCTCATTTGTTGTACCTACTACTAACAGTTTATAAAAAGCTCGACAGTGACACTCCTGTCCACAGTCCCAAGGAAAGTTGATTCTAAGATCCAAAACTGCACACTCATCTTTTGAATTTAGAATCAAGATATTTCATTCAAAGTCTTTCTCAGTGGTTTCAAAATTCATGTGGATTCTAAGTGTCAACATAATAAAAAATATTAAAAATAAAGCAAGTACTTATTCCTAGAGTAGAGATTAACTTAACAAAAGGAGAAAGTAAGAGGTTTTGCTTTTGACTGGAATGGAAATCCTTTTTTCTAGCTGACTCATGGCAGAATTCCCAGGCCCTCTTTATGCCAGTTTTGGCTCTAATGGACTCTTTAGTAAGATATCAATTGAAGTGACTTATAGAAGAGCCATTGCTTCATTTTATGTTCACAGCCCTGAAACCACTGACAGCGTAGGTTCTCTATCCAAACTTTAAGGTGACCGGGGTTAGATACAACAGTTTCCTGCCCACTTCTTGTAATTTTTCTTGCTTTCTTGGCATACATTTGTTTTCTATATATAAAATGTACCTCCCTTTGAATCTGTTTCCTTGTTGTAAAACAGAGGCTTAGTCTGGCCTGGTGGAACATGCCTTTAGTTCTACCACTCTGGAGGCAAAGGCAGGTGTATCTCTAATACCAAGCCAGAGCTACTTAGTGAGACCTACCCCCACCCAATTGCTCAAAATGGAAGAACCCAACTTTCCTCCACAAAGACATGGAACTGGACACCAGGTACACACACAAATAGATGTATCACATCTACAAAGATGCAGAGCAAATCATGAGGTGGTATTACACACTCACTTGGATGGTTATTATATGAACAAAAACCACCCAATAAAATAACAAATGTTAGTAAGTATGTGGAGAAATGGTACCTTTTGTGCAATTCTTGTGGAAATAGTAGCTTCCCTTATTATTTGGCAACTTCAGGGACTGAAAACATGCCCATAAAACAAAGCTTGTTTACAAGGATTCACAATCGTCAAGACGGAGAAACAGGTATGTGCCAGCAGGTGAGTCTGTACAATGGGATAGTATTCAACCACAAAAAGGAATGCTACACGGGTACCACGGATGAACTAGAAGCATGCCAGGCTCCAGCCCATCTAGATGGTGCACCTACAGTGGATTTCTATTTGAGGAAATGAAAACATTCTGCAACTAGGTAACACTGATGGTTGGACAACAGAAAAAAACTGAATTATACACTTTAATATGATTGAATAAGATGAATTTTGTCTTAAAAGAAAAACGTGCCCCTTTAGGCATATCTTAAGTTTAAAGTTCCTTCCTTTGAAGACAATTAATATTGAACTACCTATACCTGTGTGCACAACTGTTAAGCCACCCTCTACTCTCCGAGTGAGCACATGGTGCCCAAGGCTACTCACTTGTTACAAGATACCCGGATTAATACTTTAACATAACTTCCTAGTTTTTATGTGTTAAAAGCCGATGTCTTGCTTTTCAAAGTGAGGGGAAATTTTCCGAAAAGTAAAGCTTAACAGATAGTCAACGTTTCTGTGAGCACGATATATCACTCACATAAAACCTATATAGGCCAAAAGCCGGTAATTCAATTACTCTTGTTATGTAGCTAAGTAAAACTTGAGGGTCCGAAAGGTCAAGTCATCCACGTTCACTGTTTCCTAACAGTACCTACAGCTACATTTCCAATAATTTTTTTAAAAATGTCTTTATACATAAGGATTGGGGGTGTAACGCAATGGTAGAGCTTGCCTAGCATGTGTAAGGCCTGTAGATCAGCCACTGGCACTGGTAAATAAAAACTAGAATCACAAGCACTGTCCATGGCGTTTAGAAATAACACACAGAATGGAATGAATGCGGTGGCCATGGCTAGTCGTGCGGACATAGGAATCCCTTCCAATTGCCCCGGCCCGGAGCTCATAGCTTTTGCAATGAGCTTTAATTTAAGGAAGGTTCCTGTTCCCTGGCCTAAACCGGGAGCCGAGAAGATCTAAGGCAATGGAGAGGGGACCGCCACCCGCGAGCCTACCACGAACCGCGCCAAAAATTGGGATCCAGACACACCCCCGACCTTCCAGCCGCGGCCGGGACACTCAGGGCCCAGGCAGGTGGCAGTGCGGAGGCCGCGGGCCTGAGACAGGGACAGAGCTGAGGATACCAGCCCGGGGGAAGCAGCGGCCTCCGGGCGGCGCGAGCCGGTGGGTCCAAGCCGACCCCTACCTCCTCCAAAGCGGAAGCCATGCTGTGGCGCGTCAGACCCGAAGCCGGAGCTGCAGCAGTGCACCGAAGCAGACAGGAAGGGCCGAACACGCCACCCACGAGCGTCGCAGCGCTGGCAGCGAGCTACACCGACCCGGCACGACTCGGCTCCCTGCCCTCCGCACGAGACCGCTCTGGAACCTTCGCGAGGCTCCGCCGCCCGCCCGCGAGGCCCCGCCCAGCTCCGCCCCGCCGAGTCTAGTCCCGCCCCCAGGCAGGTGCCTAGCAACGCTCAATTCTCGCGAGCGATCGAATGCTCACGAGGCGTCAAGCCTCTTCCTTCCGCTCCAGCGACTGAGACGTCATTCCGCTCTGGCATAACCTGGCTGCGCAGTCGCAGCTCGTAATCGCGGCCTGACCTAGCCCCGGAACTAAGCTTCAAAGGTTTGGGGGCCCAATAGGAAGTGTTTAGAGAAGGGCTGTTTCCGCCGATGAGCTGCTGGGCTAGCCTGACCGCCATCTTGTCTTCTATATCGGTGAGGTCTTGGGAGAGAACAAAGGAGCGCCCCCAAAGAAGCACAATTAGGATCAAAAAAGGATGGATTTGTTAAGAGAGGAAGGCTCCTGAAGAGAACACTGGCTTAGGGTAGTGGGTTTCTGGAGACGTCCTGCGTCTAGACCATTGACGTGGCGCCATCTCGTGGGAATGTGAAAAGGTTGCATGGGTTATCTGAGAGGCTCCTAAGCAGTGGTGGAAACGCGGCACGTTTTCAAGTGGCTGAAATCTTCATCCTCCCTTGCCTTTATGAACTCTTGATACCAGATTTTCCAGTGTCTTCGCTCTTTATTAACAGTTCAATTATTTTTTATTTTTAGCAGTGTTTGGATTGAGTGATCCCACGTAAAATGTGGAGAAATTCTTAGGACTTTGGTTATAGCAGCGTGGATTAGTAAACCCTCAGCATAAAACCGCATTTCAAATTATTCTAATTCTGACAGCATAGAGACGTCCATAACACAGTGAAACAAGACAGAAAATAAACAGTACCCATTGGGAGGTCAAGCAGTCTGCTGTCAGCTTACAGATACCTAGAGGGGATACTAGAGTCAGCAAGTCAAGGAAAATGCTACTATACTACACTTTATAATAATTTAATTACATCAAGACATTAAAACACGCAACATTCATAAATTTCTCACACGAACTTGCATAAAATGACATGTCAGGCCGGGATGTATATAGTGTATAGTTGAAATTTAAAGTCTTAAACTACTAATCCCATGGCCTGTAGTGATAAAAATGAAAGCAATCCTTTTCTGGAATGAACAGTGACAGAAAGGTGCCACCCTTTCTGGGATTTGAGTATTTGAATGAAAAAGTGAAATAAAACGAGGAAGACATGCCTATTTCTAAAGTATGGAGATTTTTATTGTAGCTATAAAGAAGAAATCAGGCAGAGACAAGAGTCCAGGCTGAACATGAATGGTAGACTAAATACAACATTAAGAGGGAGGGAGAGAGCAAGAGAGGTGCCTCTGACCTGTAAGGGCCCATGGTTCACCTAAGAATGATACTCTAGACTCAAATAGTATGTAAACGTAAAAATGTTTTATTCTGCAGAAGTCAAGCAGGGATGACCTTTATCATACCTCATCTCTAGGGACATTCCATTGCCGGGACATGGAGGCTAGAAACCATTGCTGAGGAAGTCTGGAAATTTCTACTGACCCATTGTCCTTGCCTCAGGCCAGGTGTTAGGGCAGCTTCTGAGGACTGGACTTGGCCAGTCCTGAACTGCCATTTTGAAGCCTGTCATGGAGTCAGCCTATCCTTCTCAGACTAAGAGAGGCTGACTTGGACAAGTGACCTATGTAGCAAAAATGGTTGAGTTATATAGAGATTGAAGGGACTGGTTTGGCACAAGACACCCCAAGACCAAAGTCTCAACACAAAGATTTATTTGCCCTAGTGGGACAAACAACAGGAGAAGCAGAAAGGAGAAAGGGAGAGAGGGAAGGCTTGGTCCTGGAGGGACAAAGGACTGTCTCTGGATAAGAGTGGAAACAGACCTGGCCCTTAGGCAAATGGCAGTTTATAAAGGTAAAAACTGTTATAATGAGGTGTTTCATTTTGATTGATTATGTTAATTAGGATAGCCAAAAGGGGGTTTTTGGTTACTGGACTTTGGTAGTCCAAAGTCCAAAGTACTTTGGCACTTTGAAAGCTGGACCTTGGTAGTCAGCCTCAGGGAATGTTTAAAAGGGAGTAGACCTTGGTGGCTGATTTTAAGAATGTAATCTAAAGGGTTTTTTTTGGGGGGGGGGGGGCGGGGGGAGACAGAAGGTATAGGGGAGAAGAGCAAGGCCTGCAAGAGCCACGAGTGCCATGCTCATGCTGCCTAGAGTCCCTTCAGGGATCAAACTGGAAGAAGGGAAACAAGCCCAGGCCCAGGAAGGGAGAGGTTTAGGGTGAAGCATGCTGGAAGGATTCACACATATTGAGTGAGACCTAAATTTCTTAGAGACCTAACAGTATTGTTTTTTGATTTGGGTATAAGTTACAATGGTATGAGCTGTAAAGATAACATTTGTGTGGTTTGGTAGTTTATACCTAAGGCCTAGGAGTGAATTTCTCAAGTTGACAAGCATTACTGTTGTGGGGATCCCACCAGTTTATAGCCAATTGAAAGTCTTTAGTCCAGCTAGCTGGGCCTACACTTGGTAGTTAGGACCCTAGTGTAGCTCTGAATGTTTCTAGTAAGGACCTTTTAAAGGCAAAAAAACATGTTGTGGTAGCTTAGCAATTGCAAGGGGGAAGGTTTTGTGTAAGCTAGCATTTTAACAAAAGCTAAGTGGTATTAGCTGGAAGGGAAGGTTTACACAAGCAGGTGGTTTACCACAGTTAAGTTAGTTGGGGCATTTTGACCTTATGTTTCTAGAATAGAGTTAGGTAATTTCCCACGGGATTTTCCATCAAGGAGATCAAATTCTAATTAAACCTAAAATGACCTCAGCAAGAGTACAAGATGGCGGAACCTCTATACTATGCTGCTCTGTCATGTTAGTAGTGGGCTAATGGAAGTGTATGAAGATCATTTGGACTCAGTAGTTGCACAAAGTAGCAAGATCCTATAAATTAGTGAAATGAACCAACAGGTATATATTTTATATTTCAATTTTGAAAGTATCCAAACAATAAACAGAAATGAGGACTGGAATAGGAACAAATACTCCAGTGTACTCCATGGAAGCATCACCTAATCATCTTACCTACTTAGGCCCAAGAGTCACATTGAATCCTCATTGAATCCATACACCATGTGCTATATATATAGCAACTCCTCCTGACTTCATCTTTAAAATGTGTAGAAACTCAAGCACTTCTGCCCTTTACTGTTACCTGCTCTCACCTCTATTTTCACCCTCGTTTAAACAATAGCATTTCTGTTATTTCTTGAGCATATTGTTTAGTATAGTTTTTTGTCTCACAAGTCTATAATTTGATTTTTCTACTGCCTAGAACTCTTGCTCTCCAAGTCATCACATAGATCATGTCTATGCATTAGTTAAAAGACGTGAACTTCTAGGAGAGAATAAAACAATAAGTACATATTAGAAATTGGCTAAGCAAATCCAAAGCCTGTAGGACAGGGAGACTGGATTGGAAGATCATAAGTAGACTGCCTCATGATTTATTCACAAGAGGCCAGGAAGAACATGAGCTGAAGCTGGGCATGGAGGTGCATGCTTTTAATCAGGACAGCCAGCTGTCCTACACAGAGAAATAATAAGCTTTAAGTAGCAAAAAACTATAAAGACACACTTCCTCCCCTGCCAGAGAGACAGAGAAAACAAGAGGAGAGAGACGAAGGGAGGGAGGGAGGGAGGGAGGGGAGGGGAGGGAGGAATTGGTTGGAACTTAATTCTGCAAGCATCAGTCTTTCTTGTTTTTAAGACATTACAACAGGTAGAACTATGCCTACCTTGATTATACAAGCTCTCTCCTTCATAATGATTAATTATGACTTCATGGCAATGCTTAGTATTTGGTTGAACAACTAGGAAGTATAGGTGAACCAAGTTCACTTATCAAAGACTACACAGCTGGCTAATCCATTTCACCCACACCAGTCTCGTCCTGTCACTCTGATGTTCTTTATACTTTTTTGCTACTTAAAGCTTATTAGCCTTTTTCCTGTTAGGAAAGTTTACTTACCATACAGGAAAGCCGCCATGGCTTCCCTGAATAATGGGACTGTGTTAGAGACTGCCTAATGCTTTGATTCAATCAGGAATCTGTGTGTCCAAATGCTAAAGGTCCTTGTTCCCAGTTGATTTTTTTTTTTTGATCAATCAATAAAGATCCCAGTGGCCAATGGCTGGGCTCGGAGCAGGACACTTAGAGCTGCAGGGTCTAGGATGCAGGGAAGAGGATCAACACGACTCAGGAGGAGAAGGATGGGGTGCAGGAGCTGCAGGAGAGAACAACCAGCCTTGTGAGATTTCAGGTAAGTGGTCATTGGCCACTTCCCCATTGGGCCTTGGGTAGCAGGCAGAGGATTAGAAGTGTCCAGCCTTCTAACTGTTTAGCCTTGGGATGCCATGCTATAGATGTTCCTATTTTATTTTAATTCATTGCCTTTAAAGGTTATTAAACTAGCTCAAGATGGTTTTTTTTTTTTACTTGTAATCAAGGAACTTACTGTCTTTAATAGACTATTAGCAGTGGTATTATAGTGGCTATCATTTTGCTGTGTACATCCTGGAACATACTCCTATGTATGATTTCTTTCTAAGTTGACTAGCATTAGTAAGTTGATTCAAAATAAAGTCAACTTGAAAAAATTAGACACATGCACTTTTAAAACAAATGTTTATTACTGTTTAATGGGACCAAAGGGGCAACACAAAGCATTGAAAATGTCACTGGCTCACAAAACAGCCACCTTGTTAACCTTCTTGGTCACATTTGTTTATTCACAAGGTTTCATTCACACATCTAAACAAGATACCAATCCAATACAAGTTCATAACAATTATAAAAGTAAACATTTGTTGGGACAATGTACAATAAATTGCACTTTCTTAACAAGCATCACATTTACATCAATAGAGTGTACTATACATAATACATGGCATTATGGAAACAAGTAATTGGTCAGTGTCCTAGAGGAAGAGGCTGATGGCTAATGT